TTAGTGAATACAATGTACAACTTACTTCCGGTGATCCGAGACGTATACCAGACTATAATGTCTAGCATCCGGCTAGTATATATATCCGCGTCTAAGTTTAACAAGGAAATGGAACGCAAAGGTGGAATGCGCCTTAAGTCTAGCATTATAGCCTAAGGAGTAAGACGAGTTCCGGGGGTTAATAGCCCTTAAAAAGACCAATATATTATATACGAAGACTGTTACTTGCGGCCAACCTAAGTCGCTATACCTAAGCTAGGTAAGCAGTTAGCGAAAGGTGAGCGGCGCAACTAGCATTGTGAAACGTGTAAATTATATTTAATAGTAATAAATTTAAGTGAGGAGAAAGAGGCACTATTGCCTCTTATGTGGTATAATTTTAATGTATAGGTGTGACCTTAGCGGCACGTAAGATAAGGCTATAAGCGCCCACTTAAGCTAACTATGAAATTTTACTAAAATGGTTTGCAAGCCCTCCCTAAACTTGTGCAATTCTCATCTATATAAAGAGGTATAATACCACAGTTTATAGTATTATAGTTAAAGTCCTCTATAATCTAATACTAACTTAAATAATCGACAATCTACATTACCACTATAACTCTTATTAAGCTTTCATTTGCCTTTGCGTGCGCTTATACCGTTACTAAACTGTAAGAAGAAAGGAATCTCCTCATATGAATGCCACATCTACTAAACTATTAAGTAGTTTAAACCGGTTTAAGTTATCTCGTTACTAGCGGCCTCCGCGCTAAACTAAAAACCGCTGGACTGATAGCTCTCGGCGAAGGCGGAGGCAAAGTTAGAGACCACCATATTATCCACTAAGTTCTCGGTTATTATATGGGTATTGCAGGGAATCTTCTTACCGTGAAACGAGTTAGTTAAGCTATTAGATACTTATCGGGTAGTGATACGGGAAGGAATAATAATATGTTAATTTGCCTAAATTCTCGCTATTTATACTTGTTAATGTCCTCGTACGATAAAAGTAGTGGTAGTAGCGAATGGTGTAGTGGGGATATAATGCTGGTAACTAACATTAATTTATTACCCCTCTCGCGTTTAACCGCGCTGCTAGTATCCACTAACATAAAGTTACTAGTATCGTAGATCTTCCTTGGGAAACTATACTAGTACCTTTAGTTATTGGGTTACTAGGACTCACATGAGTGCTGGTACCTTAGTAAAGAAGAGTACTAGTAGGAGCGGGGTATTAGGAACCTTACTAGATGTGGTTCTAGTAGCGCTAAGGTGCCTATAACCTTAGAATTACATGGTACTAGTAATTAAAAGGAATGCGTTAGATGTTAGTTTAATGCTAGTAGGCGGGAGGCTTTATAGTTACTAGTATTATTTACCGCTTTTACAACTAATCTGTTATTATTAGTAGCTTATATATGTGTTTAGTGCGCTATAATTGCCTAGCCTTATTTCTCTAGCGACTTAACACTCTATTTACGTTTAATAGCTTTTATAAGGGGCTGTGGTAGTAGGAGAAAAAGACAGGTCTAGCGCCTAGATTTAAAGTTAGTAGAGTCTAGTCTAGTACTACGATGCCGCCTAGTCTAACCAGACCCACGAGTTCCCTAAAAGCGTTAACTACTCTGTGTCTATATAGCTAGATTTAGAACCAGAGAAGCGGCTATGGGATTTATACAAGCTATATTTTCTTTAATATACGGAGGGTTTTTTTTTTAATTTAAGAATATAAATATATAAGAATTAACACTATATTAATGTAGTGTAATACCATTTAATTACAATATAATTACCCTATACTTAACACACTAGTTTATAATAAAACACCTACCTCTTACTTTATTTCTCTTTGTCTTCCCTTAAGATGTCTTTCGCGGAAAAATCTGCAGCTCTTTAAAAGGTTATTAAAGATCTTAACCTAGGTAATGCGTTTATCTTAAGAAAGTCTTTTAGCTACAGCTTAATACTAAAGTAGTGTTACGAGTCGCGAGCTAATCCCGTTACGTACTTATCGCTAATATTCCGGTACCTATTAACACTCTTATCTGCTATATTTAATACCGGCTGTGTTATTACAGGTTCGCGTGCCTTACGATTCTTTCTCCTTACATTAATAATAAACGACGCTATATAGACTTTTTTTATTCCTAGATATAAGGAGTTAATATTAGATATAGTTAATGCATTAGACGTTTATGGAGTCTCGTGGGAGATTAATGCACACAGAGCACTTTGTTAACCCGAAACCGCCCTAGTCTCTCCTAAAGTTCTCAAGTGTCTAGATTTATGAGCCGAGCGTATTGATCTAGCTGCAGCGAAAAACTTACTTGAAGTGGAGTTATATAAGGCTTTAGGGGCAGTTAAGAAGAAGACCGGGGATAACGCACTTACAACTAACTCTCTTAAGGTTTCTAACTTAAAGGACCTAAAGTTAGACACTACTCCTTCTAAGCTAAGCGTCTAACTTAGACATAAAAGGGATAGCGTAGAGGAAGCTATTAATGTTCTCTACGGCTATATATAAACTAGCTTTGGCACTTAGCGAGTTAAGCTTATTACTAGCGCTTCTTACTTTGGTATTAATAGCTGTATAAGCTTTCTTAAAGACTTTTACGCAAGCTATATCTAGTGTTTTATTAGTGGATAGTGTGCTAGACACATGTATTATAGTTTGTTTAAAGAGAAGAAATCATGCTTATAGAGGCCCTAGCTAGGCTAGAAGTACATAAACTCGCACCTTAATATAAAGAAGTATAAACATTAAGGATTCACGTTCCACTAAGCTAGGCGTTAAGGGCCTGTTACCCGGTTACTAAGGGATTTCATGTCGTTTTTGCTTGAGTATAGAGACCTATACCGCCCTCTTATCCGGACTTTACATTAAGTTGTACTTAATATCTAGCTTTTAGAGAGACGTGAAAACATTAATGGAATATCCTAGACTGAGTTTAATGGTCGCATTTTCTTAGTCTAGGATACGATGGAAACTTGCTATTGCGACTCCCGGATAACATTTACCTCCTATAGCATGGATCTTCCCCTAAATAGGCTTTAGCGCTTAAGTAACCTAGTAGCGTTGAACTTAATAGAACCAGATAAGCTTAGGACTAAAGCATTTTAGAGTTCTATTAGTCTATCTGTAAGTAGCTAGAAATAGTAACTTAGCGCTTTAGCTAGAACCGGGAAGGTGTTTAACAACTTCCGTAGTGCTACCCTATAGTCGTAGGCTTTATAGTTAGATGATTTATAATAATATATTTGCATTTTCCTGGTTATATTATAAGAGAAACACAAATATAGTATGCGTTATAAGCAAGTGAGTAGTCCCTAGCACGTTAACCTAGAAAAGAAGAGGCTAGAACGTTGGCTAGTGGGGCTGGGTCGGATAGGACTCCGCTTTTGGGAGACTATCGTTACACTGGACCAACTTCAGCTGTTGTTGGTCTTGTCTATGTCTTCCAATTGGGGAATCCTAACTCAGGTGCCTCCTGCACTTATTAGTTTGCAAATTGCGTACCCTTACCCTTAGCTGTTGTTTTCTCTTTTCTCTTTTGCGAGGACTTTGGCGCTTAAGTGCATTATTCCCCTTCTTGATTTACCATTTTCCCTAATCTTGGTGTGGCGGACGTTAGATGCCTCGCACCTCTGCCTAATCTGGCAGTAGGTTTGCTGCGAACTTTCCAGGTTGCCGAAAATAAACGCGGAGGTGATGGCCACAAGTGAGCCGGTGTGGAGCCACACGGTCCGGAGCGGTGCCTGGATTGAAGATTACACGGACCTCCACATCAGGATGTCATCCATGCATGCCCCGCCACCATCAATATCCAATGTTGTCCAACTTCTTCCAGTCTGTTTAGCGCCATCATCGGAATTCATGGCCACCACAACGCCGTCTCCGCGCCAGCGTCTTGGCCGTCATTTACAATTATAAATAGAGTGATTCCACTCGCATGAAAAGCTGCTGTCTGTCTCCTTGCAAGATTGGGATACTGTTCAATATGGAGCCCAGAGAGCGTTATTTGTGTCACAATGAGCCTCCAAACTGTGGCGTCACATCACACCTCACGCCTCAACAGGAGCGCAACATGCTTAGCTCAGAGATCTTGCATCTGCGGTCTATCAGAGGTTACGAGAAGCAGATCTCAGACCTTACCAGAGACAATTACAAACTACAATCGGAGAATCAGTATTTACAATACCTTAGGAGTACCGAGAAGTACAATGCCGACAAGCAGATACAGAAATTGTCTTCTGAGCTTTTTGCTTGGAAACACCTGGTAAGTTTTATCAACGTACGCTTGCCGATGACACTACGCTGACTCCGACATGTCAGAAGCCTTTGCAGGGCCCTGAGCGCATTGACAAGATGCGAAGCCGTCAGCACGACGAGGAAGCCGTCACTGAAGTTGGGGAATTTGAATCGAGTAATTCTGTAAAGCGTAACTAGCTAATTAGGCAATTTAACCTTTTTTTTTTTTCTCGTTCTACTTGGGAAGTTTAAGCGGCAAAGTTACTGTACGCCTGTAGACCAAAATACGCGATAATGATCGTTTAATTGATAATATGAGAATGCGCCATTGCAAAGCTATAGATGTTGCAAACCACCAGAATAAGACTTATTAGGAAAGACAAGCGAGCCTTCCCCGATACCCATGATTTGCTATGGATAGTTAAGTTCTTGCAATATTTTTCCAACCACCACCAAAACGACAATAAGCTAACAGCATATAGCACGTAAGCTGATGTATTGACACTAACTAGTAATGATCTGAATCCTCTGTCTCTACAATAAGATGCTTAAGCTCTTTCCACTCGCCAAACCACCTGTCACGGTCAAACGTCTCCATCGTGAGATCCTGGGCCTCTAATATCGCCTTGGTTCCCCGAAGGCTATCAAGAGTCCCCCAGGTTGGTTTCCAATGGATCTTAAACTCCAGGAGTCCCCTCTTTCCTTCTCGCACTGCCCCTAAACGTGAGAATGCGAAAACCTCTTCTTCTCCGGGCGAAGCGCACTTGCCCTAGACACCATCTGGGACTGCGCCAGTATCAATCGGCGTTTCCTTTCGCTGTCTCCGACCGATTAGGCGGGCAATCGCAGTAGTTAATGCATCGTCTGCCGCATCCTTTGTGGCGTACCTTTTCTCGACACGATTTTTGTGGCCAGCGCTAGTACCCATTGACCTTGTCTTTCGCAGCCTCCGACCGGCTGGGCGGGCACTTAAAGCAGTCGCTACATCGTCCGCCACACCCATAGCGGCGTCGACTGGCTCACGGCTTGGGCCAACGGTTCCTGATCTTGGATCAACAAACTCCAAGTTAGAGTCTTCAAGGTCATCCCGAGACACGTTGCCAACGGTCTCACTTTGGCCCTCTGGGTCATTTCGATCGATTGGGTGGGCAATCGCAGCAGTCGCTACATTGTCCGCCACGCCCATTGTGGCCTCGACTGGCTCACAGCTTGGGCTAGCGATTCTTGATCTTAGATCAATAAACTCCACGCTAGAGTCTCCAAGACCATCTCAAGACACGTTGCCAACGGTCTCACTTTGGCCCTCTGGGTCATTTCGATCGATTGGGTGGGCAATCGCAGCAGTCGCTACATTGTCCGCCACGCCCATTGTGGCCTCGACTGGCTCACAGCTTGGGCTAGCGATTCTTGATCTTAGATCAATAAACTCCACGCTAGAGTCTCCAAGACCATCTCAAGACACGTTGCCAACGGTCTCACTTTGGCCGTCTGGGTCATTGTAGACCACAGAGTCGTTGTACCCTGCTTTCGTGGTTGACGATGAAGCATTCGATACAGGGGAGGTTCTCTTTAAGCCACCAGCGTTTAGGAACGGACGGCGATGCGTAGGAGAGGGCAAGTGAGTGGGGGAGGGGTAGCGAGTACGAGAGTGCGGGCGAGTGGAAGAGGGCCAGCGATATGTCTTGTGGCTGTTCAAAATGACTCGATCCATCATCCTACCCATCGTGGAGTGATGCCGAGTTGAAGCACAGGGATATGAAGTACGGGCAGAGGGTATAATTGTTGGCAGGCAAAGCCAAAGTGAGAGTAACCGTTTGGTGACGGGTAGAGCGAAAGCAAAGTGGTTGAAAGATGGCTCAGAACCATAAGCTGCGAGATTCGAGTGAAGATGAAGGAAGGATGAAGTTTCTGTGAGTCCTAGAGGAGGGGATGGCTCCTTTTATAATCGCCAACCGTCTGAAGTCACGAGTTTAGTCGGCTTGAAACAGGCCAGGCTGACTACTCCCTTCCATCAACCCAAAACTCCTCATCTGCATGAGGATCAGGAGATGGGTCTTTGTACTCAGAGTCATCGCTGTATCGTGCGTATGACTGGGTGAAGGCTAGTTTCGTGCGTTTGTATGGGTGGGGGCGCGGCCCTAATGCATTGGCTTCCTTCCTCTTCCTGAGCGCTTCTCGTCTCTTCTCGAGTTCTTTTTGGTGTTGAGCTTCCGCGAAGTCCATAGCTATTGGTGCGATTTTTGTGTTAAGACATGATGTTTTGTTGACTAGTACAGCTCCAAGAATCTTGCTGCCTCCATGAACCTCCGCTACATGAATGATCCAGCCTCCTTCGTCTGCGATGTTAGCCTCCCTGCCCATTTGCAGGTAAGCTGGATAGCGGAATGGCTCATCGAACAGCTTACTGTGAATTTTCAAGTGACGAGTGAATCCTCTCTGTTTGTATTATTAGTCGCATAAGAGACAGAGGGCGTCTGGTAGAGATTCCAAGTTTGGGGCATGGACTTTGCCGTGGACCCTTTAAACGTGGCTACTCTAGGCGCTAGGACTCGCTTTAATCACCGTTTCTTCAAGTTTTAACCGCTTGCACTTAGGACACACGAACCGTGTCTTAAAGATGTGCATGTGGAACTTGCGAACGTGCCTTATGAGTGCTGATATGTTAAAGAAGGCTCCACAACCAAACAGACATCGCGCTGCCTGCCTCGGTCTGTCCACAGCGTCATCGCTCTCAGTAACCTCTTGATGCGTGTGTATTCCGCTTATATACCCGACGAGGCGGTTAGCAAGACCACTAGTGGCGTTAGGGTCAATCAAAAGATGGGCTAGCTTGGCGGCGTGGGCGCTGCTATTCCCAAACCTCTTCCGCTTTAAGTTTTGCACCTCTTCTCTTAGATGCGCCGTAGTTTGGTTTGTTGCTCGTAACTTATCTGCTTCTTTAAAGTACTTCTGACGCTTCTCCCGGACTGCTAACTTCTCAAGGCAGTTTATGATGTATTTGATTCGCGCTGAAACCTTCTTTGCTTCTTGACTTGATGACCCTTCCTAGGCCGTAATGCATCTTAACTCCTTGCGGAGCTCTGTGATGTCTCTGCGAGATTCAAACTGGTCAATTTCGTTTTAAGATAGGCGAGTAGGTGCGTCTGGGTCCCTATTATGGAAGGTGTTCGAGATAGCTTCCCACAGAGCAGCATCGTGCCTTGCCTTGTCGCCGAAAGCGATGTTCGCCAGGTTTGCTTGTAGTCTTACTAGCTGATAACTTCGTTCATAAACCTTTGTAGAGTGTGATACTATGAAGTTACAAAGTGCCGGTTGAAGACATCCTGGTAGATAATTAGTTACAGGCGGTAAGATGTTTCGGTTAAGGGATAGCTTACCATTCAATCTCCCCACAGCCCCAACACGGATAGAGTAGGGACGAAGGCCAGAACGGCATCCCGCCACCTCACGCACCTCATTCCAAAGGTCAAGAAACCTACGATAATTCATGGGCATAATATGCTTGTCATCAGCCATAAACTCTTCTTTCCAGCGTAGTTCGACAAAATTGACGCCATCCTCAAGTGTTGTCGGGTTGAGGACCTCATCGCATGACGTAAAACCAGCTTCAAAGGCATCGTCCTTTATTGCTCGGATCGTGAACATCGTGGTTAAGCATAGGATCAGGCTTGGGATCACAGTAACCGCATAGCATAAGCTGTATTGCATATCAGTTAGGTTTTGTCCGTTTTGTGGAAATAGCAGGTTAGATCATATGCGGGAGTACCTAGAACGCTGTTCTCGCTCGATCCTAATCTTTTGTAGCTTGTTATGGTCAATCGTAGACCAGCAAATGGTTCGCGTCACAGACGGGTCAACCGGGTCTCTAACCCACGCAAGCTTGACATGGTTGTATTTCTTCAGTTCCAGCGCGCCTAGTCGCCAACCACCAAGGCCCATCTCGACGACATACATGCCGAAAGAGAGTCTATCATCCGGCGAACACCTAAGGTCATCAGCTTTCTCCCATATAGTGGAAAGAATTGTCAAAATGTCGTCTTTAGTGGCAGCTTCTTTCTGAAAAGTCTGCCCTAAATTTAACCCCATATCTGCTCCGAACTGGGGAATCCACTGCGCACACCTTCAATGGTTAGAAAAGTCAATCGCAAGCAAGAGAGGGGTCTAGAAACGCACGCGGGCTATCTCATAAGTAGGGCCACAGGTCGACGGAGTCTTCCTTGACGCATACTTTAACGACCAGACCCCAGCGTTCTTGCGATCTTGGAGCCTTTTCGGCTTCATAATCCGGTCACCAGCATGATTGACCAGCATACACCACACATCTTCTATTGTGGACGCACAATCAATCGTATGGACCTTCTCATATTCCTTAGGACCAAGGCACGGTCGCAAAGTGACGGACTCCTCCCAATACTGTCGCAGGAAAGCTTGGAAAACAGCTTGAACGTCTGGTTCGCCCAAGCAGAGCTCAATCCAGCTGGCCTCTGGGTCAACGTCGGCGCAGGCCGCAAATCTTTAAGACTTGGAGTTAGCTTTTCGACTTAGGGTCAACAATCATATGAAGTCTTACTCTTCCCAGTTCTTCCATATCCTCTCACGACGTTGTCTCGTTTTTGCATCTAGGCGACAACTCTCAATAAGTGGCTTGTCCTGGTACTTTTGCACTGCAGCTTTAGCTGCTGCTTTGTTGAATTGGCGCACACTTGGACGGTTAAATCGAAGGGATGCCTCCGCATTTGGAGGCATTATGGCAATCCAGACGGGAGTTGGTGGTGATACGCAGAATGGCGGGATATTGGGGTCGTGGGAAAGCACAAAGTTCAAATCGCCCCCTTTTACCGCGGAGGGGGGGGCAGCCCTTCTTTTACTATCTGACCATAACCAGGATTAAACCAGGCCACAACGCGCAGATATCACAAGGCGCGATGTCCATGGTCGGGCTGCCCAACACCGGCGGGATGGGCTCCATGACTACCTGGGTGTGGCAGACTACGCATGTATGGGCAGCCCAATCTGGAAAAGCTCATTGTCGATGGGAAAGAAGAAAAGGGGCGTCCGGCGCGTAGCAAAGCAAGTGCACAAATGTGATGAATCTGCGAGGCCCAGGGTCGAAAACAGGCAACAGAAGGGTGTGTGAGAAGCACGGCGCTTCGGTGTCGGAGGGGAAGATGCTGAGGCCGGGCAGAGAGGAGGGAAAACGGTGACGAGATGGAGAAACGGAGGGGACGGGAAAAGTGGGTCAAGGCGACCGTCACGGGTAAACCTCGGGGGAGTTCAAATTTCGTACGCGGTATCCGTCTCGAACTCCGTTGGATAACCTAGCGAGTGCCGGATTAGTAGCTGGATCGGTGACGACCAGCGAATACCTGGTGTTGTATGTTTTACACTTTTTGTCTTTTGTCTCCTTGGAGCCCAAAGTTGTATTTTTTTCTGCCTTTTGGCATGTCCTCGTTTTCAGTGGCTCGTCCATTTATTCGCTGACGGGGTATCTGTCTTGTTTGGAACGGTCGTATATTGCGTGTTTGCTGGAGAGGTTGGCAACCCCCGTTTTTTCTCAATGTGGTTGAAACGGCTGAGCGGTGGCAGACCGCTGTTGTTCTAGTGGAATACACGGCGACTGTATGGCTCCGTGCAGAGGCATTCGAGCAAGATTCTGTAGCAGTTAAAAAAAAAAAAGGTGGCTATTAGTTTACGCCGTGACTGTTTTATAAGCCGTCACCAAAACACTATGCACTATTTACACAAGGTGGCCTCATAATTCCCCCCAGTCTTTTTAATAGAAACAGTTACCTCCGCCTCTTACCACCACCACCACCACCACCACTGCCACCATCCTCTGCCCCTCTCTTCCGCCCATTCTTCCTCCAAAACTCCTTGGTCTCCCTCTTCTCTCTGGCCTCCTTCTTCTCCTCGTTGTCGGCAAGCTTCTTCTTGAACGCCGCGTGGTTCTCTGCCTTCTTGGCACGCCTCTTGGCAGCCGCGTCGTTTCTGATAGTAAGGAGCTGCTGCATAATGGCGCGGGCCTTCTTCTCCTCCGAGTTTTTGGGCAGCACAACCGCTCGTTTCTGCATATAAGTATCCCGTTTTTGCTTCTTGGTGGTTGTGATTTGCGACTTGTAAGGCAAGTCAGCGGCCAGGGCGCGAGGCACCCTCAGGGGATTAAAGTGTCGCGTTTCACGCTCAATCTTGCGATACTGGCTGTTTTTCAGCTGTGGGGTGGCTACGCCTTCGTCGCGACGGACTTCTCCGGTGAGACGCATGGGCTGCCAGCCGATGAGATTGGTCGCAGGGTTGTAGAAGCGGTGCGGCTTGATGGGATACCATGCGCGGAGGAAGACAATGTCGCTGAGGAGGATCTTGTCCTCAAAGGTGGCTCGGAAGTGGCCCTCTGGCTTGGACAAGGCGCGCTTGATTTGGCCGCGGACGCCCGAGACGGTTTTGATGGATGCGCCTTCAAACTTGGCTATTTCGAGAGCAGAGTTGAACATGTCTTTGATGAAGGCAGTATTCTTGAAGATCTTGTAGGGGACGCCGGTGAGTTTGAGCTTCTTGACGATTTCAGTGGACTCGTCCACGCTCAGGACTGTTCCCGTGGCGGCAATGCGGAAACCTGCGTTGGAGGGGGAGAAGGAGTTGAAGCAGACGAAGCCGGTGTTGGGGGCGATTAGAGGAGCGTACATGGTGCCGAAGCAGTGCATGTGCTCGGGGGTGTATTTGAGCATGCGGTTTCGGGTTCGCGAGTCGGTGGTGCTGTAGATGGGCATCGTTTGAAAACGTCTCCAGCCAAGGGAGACGATAAGGGGGTCGTTGGTCTTGAGAATTTTCTTGTGCCACCGGTGACGCTTGATTCGGACTTGCACAAAGCCCCATCTATCTTCGGTCGCAGTGAGGCCACCCACCACAATGGGCAGACGAGCGTTGAACTTGGTAACGAACTCAGCAGGGACCTTCTCAAGTACAATCTTGGCATATTTGCCGGCGCGGTAGCCCTCAACGGCTGCGCGTTGTCGTTCGTCCAGAGTCTCGAACTCCTCCTTATTGATGTCGAGCTGTTTCTGGATCATGGCCTTTTGAGCATCGTACCAATCGTCTTCACCGTACTCTTGAATGTCACCGCCTTCTCTCCGAGCATTGGCTTTGTCGTTGAGGAAGCCTTCTCTGTCCTCCTCTTCAAAACGTTGTTTGAGCTCTTCTTTACGCTTGGCGTTCCTTTCGCGCTCGGCGGCGATATCCTCTGCTGTCTCTTGTTCCTTTTCAGCAGGCTCAGCTTCCAGATCCTCGAAAACACCGTCGCCTTCATCATCGTCATCCCCAAAGCCACCAAAGTCGTCGTCGTCGCCGCCAACATCGCCTTCTTCCTCGTCATCGTCTCCCCCGAGGCCAGAGGTGGTAAATCTCCTGCGCAAGGCCTCGATGTTATCTTGCTCTGCCCATTTGGCCGCCAGGTCATCGTAGTCGTAGTCAGGTATTGAGCGATCCTCAGTCGAGTCCTCCTTTTCCTGTGAGGACTTCTTGAAGAAATCATCGTCGTCTGAGTCCTCAATGTTCTCCTCTTCGGGTTCATCGCCTTCACCTCTCCATCGCTTCAAAGCCTCTTCGGGGGTCATTGAGTCGTCGTACATGTATCTTGCCAGGTCGCCGGTATGGTACGTCCGTCTCTTTCCATGCATCTTGCGAGCTCGATCCGCCAAGTCGTCCTTCCAGCGCATGGCGGCGGCTTCTTCATCAGAATCGAAATCCTCATCCTCATCATCCATGCCCAGGTCGTCTCCAGATATTGACCCGAGATCTGAGTCGCTATCGGCAAACGCAACATCATCCTCTCCCTTGGATTTGTCGGCATCCTTGCGGAACATTTTGCCCATTTTACTTTCGCTGAACTCTACCTCAGCGTCAGAGTCCTCATCACCACTCCCACTGACGAAGCCCTCATCTTCTTCCTCGTCATCGTCGTCCATGCCCTCATCCTCAACGTCTGATTCACTTCTTTCGGCTATTCTAGCACGCCGTTGTGTTTTTCGGCCGGTATCTTCCTCCTCGGCAACTTCCTTCAGTTTCTCACCGCCAGAGAACAACTGAACGCCATCTTCCATTTGACCCAGCAACCGTCGCTCCGCTTGAAGACCAACAATCATCTCCTCGCCTTCGCCCCGCTCAACGCCTTCTGCATCCTTGTCGAAGCTGAAGCCTTTTTCTCTAGTGATCCAGATAGCATCGCCATCAATCTTCAAGCCACTCCGGTCTGACATGGGGGCATGCAGCTTCTTTTCTTTCTCGTCCAGCCGCCGTCTGCCGGTCTTTCCCGTTATTTTGGCCAGCGCCTGTTCCATAGAAGGTGTCGGGCAGGGGTCTGGCAAGACCTCCATACTGGCTACTGTAAAGTCACCAAGCCCGGCAACGTGTATTCGTTGTCCCTGTGCCGCAAAGTTTGTTCCTCGCAAATACCCAGACAGAACAATCGATCGGTCGCAGTTGGGGTCCTCTTCAATCTTTGTCGGATGCGTAATGTCACGGAAACTGTCGATGATGGAGTACGGGTGGTTGTTGCGCCATACAAGGGGTCGGGGATTCTTCATGACGGACACGAATCGTGACAGGTTGTGAATCTCGCGATCGGGATATCGGCCATTCATGACGCCAGACAGATAAAACAGATGAGCGCCTTGATACAACTCGGTCCAAAGTCTGCGTTTTAACCTCTTCTTGGCCTCCTTCAAGGCCTGTGGCTTGCGGAAAAGATCCAGATGTGTGAGGATACCAAAGACGTTTCCAGGCATACCTGTGGCGGCAAGGACGTTTAGGAACTCCATTGTCTCCATTTCGAAGCCATAATTGCCGTCAATCATGAGCAGCACAATGTCTGCCACCTTTGCGATGTCGACCATGGCTTCCATCTGGTTAGGGCATTCGATGAAGGTCAGTCTCTGTTTTTTCGAGGTAACGACGGTTATGGGCCCCTGGGGGTCTGACAAAGTCTCCTTTGCATAACGTCGAACCATTGATTTTAGAAGCGTAGTCTTGCCAACGCCAGGAGGGCCGACGATGGCCACGAGACGAGGCGGAGCCTCATCGGGAAGTCGGTCGACGAGCGGTACATGAAGGCGCTTCTCTTTAATCTGTAGGATGCAACGTCAGAAGTCTTTCGCTTCAAGGTTGGGAGTACAAAAAAAAATCGTACATCCTGAGATCTAGCTGCACTTCTTTGCAGTTTTCCTGGGTTGGAGAAGGCGAAGGCTTTGGGATTATGGTCTGCGCCTCGGTCAGTAATCAAGTTTAATTCCAATCGCACAAAATTCAAAACTGGAGAAAACGTTAGCCTCACCTCCCGTGTGCTTCTTCTTCTCCTTGGACTTGCGATGCGGCTTGTGTACTTGTTGCTCCATGGTTGCTATTCCTCAACACCATGCGCAGTGCTAGACTCCCATGGCCAAGAATTTGCCCATTCGGCGTGGGAAATTTTCTGCCGGCCATGAATATTTCTGGCTTATCGATAAGCCTATCAGCAGACAGTTCAGGTGGGCAGGTGGGGAGCAAGCAAGTTTGAACTTTTGAAGGTTTGGAGGCGCCAAAGACATCAACTGGTTGGTCGGCCCCACCCACGACCACCATTTTGTCCTACGCCTACCCTAAAGCGAGCCGACCATCTTTTTCTGCCTAGACTCCTGTTCTTGTGACAAAGCAAGTCGACACTATGGACAGTCTTGTTGGACACTTAAATTCAATTCCATTTCGCGATTAACCTCACTACGATTTTAAGGATGGGCCGGTATGAACTGCAGTATTGCAGACGGCCGTCTTCTATCGACTTGATCCCGTTCGTCCTGCTCGGTTCCCTCCTCTGTCTATGATTCTCATGATTTGATAGCTTCAGTGTTTTGTATACGGGGACAAGTGTATACTATATCCCATGACCCCATATCCCGAATCTAACTCGTTACAAAAACTCCCAATAACCACCTCCAGAGTCAATTCTATATGTGCACCATTTCCCGTCACCTCTCGAGACAAGCTCAACCAGGCGTTCAGAGACTATTGCCTTCCAGTCCAAGTTCATGCCCAGTGCGCCCGCCAGCATGCCGCAACGAATTATGAGCTGCCAGCAATATGTCAAATAGCGGCGCAACTGGTGACCATTGACCGGATGGAACGGGTCAAGAGGCTTCTCGAGTCTGTTCTGCGTGGGACTGTCCACGTAGTCCAAGATGCTCGATACCAGCTCTGCCGGGAGCCTCTTGTCCATTAATATCTTGCACGCATAGTTGATGGCGGAGGACTCGACAACAGGATCCGGTGTCAATCTCTCCTCTGCCAGGAATTCCTTCCATGGCAGTACCCCATGGCCGGGTTTGCATCGCTGCCATAAAACGTCCCCTCTTCGTTGGCGGTACGTCTCGTCGTTGGAAACGCCAAAGAACTGCCGGTGAGGCAATGCTGGAACCTCCGAGGTGGCTCTGAATGACGTGCAGTTCGCCATGACGCGTTGGTACATGTATGTGTTGCGGTAGTCCTGCCTCGACGTTCGACCAGACGCCGGTTCCCATATCTCAGGGAAGCAGTAACATATGTTTAGACACAGGTAGGCGTCTATTGCGTTTATGTAAATACGGTCCCAACCCACATCGGGGAACTGCCTTTGTTAGTGTTTTTTGTCTTCTTTCCCTTCTCCCTCCCTCATTATAAACCAGGCTAGCAGAGTTTTGACTGAGGCGTTGGATATCATTTACCTCATCGTAACATGGCCCTACGTGATGCCAATTTTCGTAGTCGACTTCGGGATGAGCGCAAATGCGTAGGATCGGATCCATTTCGCCGTATAATAACAAGAGCTTCAGAATTTCAAGGTTGTAAAACGCCTCTGCGTTCTGCTGGAAGAATTGGAAACATGGGTTTGGCACGTATTCTCGAAGAAAGGCAGCGGCCTGCCGCTCGCAGTAAGGAATAACGCACCCACATCCGAAGCCCAGTTGGCCATCCTTGTGACGGCAGAAAAGCCGGGTGGCATCGTTCGACATGGATTGGTCAAAGGGCTGACCAGTGTATCTGTCCCTCCCGTCAGAATCCGCAAGAGATCGTTGTCGCAAGCGCAGCACGGTTGGGGCGAGCTTCTTCGCCACCGCGTCGGTTAGTATCAGGTCGCGCCGGGCGGGCGCCGAGTACATCTCTGGGTGCTTGCTACGCTCGCATTGAGTGTGATGCTCGATGTTTTGGGCGAATGCAGTGACAAAGTAGGTGAGCTGCTTGCCCTGCTGAGGCTTGTAGCAGACATAAAAATTCGACATCTTGTCTCCATCGGCACCGTCGTACCTGCGGAAGACGGGCTTGAGATGACTGGTCAAGGCTTGCCACGGAATGTTGTGCGCTTGGTGTGCCATTGTCGACTGAGGACTCAAGCTTGGATGAGGGCTTGATTTAAGAAGAAGAAAAAAAAAAGCTATACGGAGTAGGTCGATGCATCAATTTGATGTTGGTCGCTTCGTCTCCACACTTAGCATAAGGCCACTTGGCCATCGTGGGAAAACAGCCAGGCGTCAACAATGCAATGTCATCATTACTCAATTAGTAAAATTAGTGAAATACAACGACGAAAGCACCGGGCGGGTGCATGGCAAGCCAGTATTCCTGCTCGGTAGCCATGTGTTGCTGCTCAAATTGCTTTTGCTCTCGTGTATTTACACCATACAATACAAGTGAGTATTTGATAGCCATTGTTCTAAAACATCCAATCAATATACCCGAGACAACTATAGACACCAAACCTTGTCTTTCCACTACCAATTGCCAGTTCTGCTACCTCCGATATCGAACGAATCAGACCCGTCTTTGTCATGGTGGATACAATCTCGCTTCTGACAAAGTCTCATCAAAAGCGTGACGTTGAGTCTTTGTGCTCCTCCAGCGAGTTTCAGTCCGCACTGGACACTCGTATTGATTCTCTCAAATTGGGAAAACGCAACACATTGACGTTATCCATGCCAATGACGGCTTTGTATTCGAGGCTCCGTGCCGAGGCCTTCGGTCATTGACCCATTCGCTTTGGTGTTTTGCATTTCCAAAGGCAAAAGCTGCCAATGCACATTATCTGCGGGAATGCGGGTGAGGAGAATCGTGGCGTACCCAATCAAGTGATTTGTATGATTTCCGCACGCCGGAGATGGGTCCCATTTCCAGATATATTGCTTGCCCCCGTCATGGTCCCTTTATTCATCTCATGATAATGCGGGGAAAACGCCATGTTCAGCCCTGGGCCCCGGGTGCCGGAGTGTCCATTAGCGTCCCCATCGCAACGCGGCGTCTACATCGCGGCTCTCATCATGACCATTTTGCCCTGGTGCCCCTCCGTCTTGTGGGGGCAGTTGATTGCTTCCAATGCTCACTGGCGCTACGTGGGCGTCGTGAATCATGTTTATTGCCTTGCCGCCGCCTTCTCGTTCCACAGCCCGCCTCCGCGCGTGAAGTCGGCCTCTCTCTCCCGCAAGGAGACGCTTTCCCGGATTGACGTGGTCGGCGGCTTCACGTCCGCCACGGGCATCATCAAGGCCGTCTATGCCATTGTTCTCGTCTTCGGCCCGGGCGTGGGAGCCACCGTCTTTCCAACTAGCGTCATTACTCAATTTGTGGATGAGCATGTGGCTGTTGTTATTTGATAGCGAGCCCTTTCCCCCCTCGGTGAAGTGGGTGCAATAGCACGGCAATTTCGAGCAGATCTCCTCAAGATACTTTCAAAAGAACCGCTCACATGGCATGGGATATTGACCTTGATGGTCGGTTGCCAGAACTGGCAACTTGACGAGGAGGATTGTAGTAAGCGCATGACTTCAATGGCACTGACGGCACTTGAAGAAAAAAAAGCTGCCAAATAACAATCCCATGATGAAACCGAAAAGGTTTACAGTGAGATGTGCCATGCAACAGGCAAAGTCTTGGGCTGCGTGTTGGCCCAAGTTTTCCAGGCTGACGGCTGGTGCCTGGTGGTGGTGATGATGCGACGCTTCGACTCAAAGCCTTCAGTCTGCCACGGACGCGCAGTCAATGATATGCCTGCGCAGCATCTGAAGTGCCCAAGCACTCAAGCACTCCAGCATGTGCCCGAGTTGGCAAGCGATATCCAAGCACCCGAGTCTCCGGCCGTCCAGGTTACTACTACTCCGAAGCCAACCGGCCACCTAAAGTTTTCGCCTCCCGTTTACAAGGCGCAGCAATGGCACAATGAGGCGACATCAGCCATATTGCGTTCAATGTCGCAACGAAAAGGTGATTTGTTGCAACGTACCGCCGCCCGGCCCTTGGCCCACGGCCGAGGCATGCTCTCGGTATCCGACACGTTCCAAACGCCTCAACACGCTCTCGCACCAATGTTCCAGGAGAACTCATTGCACGACAAGTCAGTTCGGGAGACGTCAACTCGTGGCCAAACCATCAGCCCAGCATCCTTCTGCGTGGCCATGGTACCAATGATTTTGCCATGCAGCCGTCAAAGAATCACACCCAAGATCGTACCATTGCCGTGCATCGTGGTGCAACATGCGCCACCCGATGGCGCTTTGTGGTCGACCCCGACCCGGACCTAAAAAAAGAAAAAACCAATATTTTACATGCCACGACCGGAAACCCAAGGCTGGTCCTGAGAAAAAGGACCACACTTGAAAATATTTCGAGGAGCATACATGTCGCCCCCCCAATTCTATTTGACCGTGCAATCCCCCCCATGTACAAGAGTCAGTCCACCAGACCCAACACGAGGCCGTGTATCGATGGCGCCGGCGTCAGAATCAAACAGTTGCGGAGCCTCATTACGTACAAAGTCGGACGGTGTAGACGTGTAGTTTTAGCTTGAGGGTTTCAGTTTGCCGCTCCCGTCAGGACATGGGGGGGGGGAGATGGCACGGTCCCTGGTTCGCCGGGCGTAATAAACCTTGATGAGACCACTCGGCTTGTTTTGTTAGCGTTGCATACGTGGATACGTCGTGATGGAACTGTGGAAAGGGACAAAAAAAAGTATGATGGTGAGTTGGGCTGGACGGCAAGACGGACAGTGGAATTCCCAGCATTACCCGGTGTGGACTGTTGCCGTCGTGAACCTCACACGAGTCCTTGGCTAGCCAAGTAAAAAACAAACTATACGAAATAGCAATGATGGTTGTTCGTATTGTCTACTAGGTAAGCAGCCCACAAAAAAAATAAAAAAAAAAATTCGTCGACTTACACGCACCGGGTACTCATCCCGCCCACCAAGGCAACCGTGTCACGGAGTGGCGCAGCCCCAGCGGCCGTTCCAAGCCCGGAGCAGTTCGGCGCCCAGGCCCCACTTTGCCCCGAGACCAGCAAGGTCAGGCAACCTTAAACAGAATTTTTTTTCCATTGGCACTTGGCACCGTTACCTGTGAGCCCACTGCAACACAACGGTCTGCATGGGAGGCTGGAGGGTGTCAAAGAAGGGGGGGGGTGCTGGTGCGGGCCGCAACTTACACGCCAGCGGCTGGCTTCGGCTGGCAACGCGCATTGCCGCCGTCCTTTGCCAACAGCCGGTCTGGCGGCCAGGGCTCCACTAAAAAAAAAAAAAAAAAGAATAAAAAA